TCTAGGACTAGTCTGAGTTCGAGAAGGTGAAAGCAGACCTACTATTTAGTGAAACAAATATTTTCATTGTCGAGAAGGAATGAATATGTACTTTTGTAGAATTTGTCATTGGTCTTACTAAAGGCTCGAGAAAAACGAAAGAGACCAAAGAGATAGATTACTATGGATACCTAATTCCTGGTGATGGCCATAAGTTGAGAGGGTTATGTTGAAATCCTTAGTTTGTTTCATGAACTTTTAAAAATGTTTATTTCAGATCTTTATTCTTTCTAAATATTTTTGTTTCCTTATGTGAAGATAACATGCATATGAAAGTCAATCATGGCCAAACCAATCTTTGTGTTGAAGCCATAGGTTCCCTAATCTGTCTGGAAGTAATGGTCTCTCAAACAAATCTACACTGGTCACAGTAGTGGCTGAAGTTGGTGGAGACCCTTTGGATATGACATTCCTGCGTTGTCTCTATCTCCGAGGGTGGTTTACCTCCCACAAAACAAAATACCCACTGTCATGGTTCAACAAAAGTCTTTATAAAAATGTGAAGTTACTGCTCTCCCTATCACAACCCTTTCGTTCATCTCTAGAGTTGAAACAATCAATAACCTCCTTGTCATGACCATATAAGGTTTTGAAATTCCCTGCACTAGACTTCCTTCCTCAACCTCAGGGTTCATCTGATAATTGTGGGAGCTGGTGTTTCCATGTTAGTGATGAATGGAGAGTTGGTTTTAGATTCCTCATGTTTAAGATTTTATTTACTTTATTTTTTGCATTTTGGCTTGCAAAAGTTGTTCCATGTCCTTTTGTTTTAATATGAACATAACTTTTTGGATGTCCTCTTGGTTGCAATTTATACATGCCATTTTTATATTTTCTTTCATGTTGTAAGTTTGTATTGATGTTTAGCGAATTCATGGCTAAGGGTGCCCTCACTAGACCCCTTTCCCTACCACTCAAGCTCTTTCCATGTTTTAAAAAATTGAGAAAGGGGGATCACTTTATTGGATCATTTTTCTTGATGTGCCTAATCGACTGAGTGAGGTCCTTGATCCATTATAATAGCTCTTTGGAATTCACCTTAGTTTATCGTTATAGGTTTGTTTGTGCCTCTTTTACAGACTTTTGGTAAGGTTAAAAATTTTGCTCACTTATCATGTTGTTGAAAATATATTAGTGGGTAATAGTTTTATCGTCTCCACGGTGATTATCGTGATATCGCCGCCGTTCTACAATTTATAGAATCTTAAGTGAGAATTTTAAAATGTTTTTTGTTGGTATCATTAACATTCACTAAAGTTTTGTAGCAAAGAGTAAAGTTTGGAAAGATGTTTGTTTTAAAAGACATATCAAGAATAAATTTCATCAACCTAATTTTGCATGTATTCTATTAATCAACCATGTGAACTTCCTACATAATCAATACAACCACGTATCGCTCATCTATACCGCTTATGTCTAAGACGGTATTGCGACTTTTACCGTATTGTTTAATCGACGATATTCCAACCTATTAAATAATACAAATAACATCCATGATCCAATACAAAGTGGATATCAAATATCATTTCCATGTCTAAACTTGGTGTTTTATAGATAATCACTTTATATCAAGACTTAAAAGAAGTATCTCACAAACATTTAAACCACAAATATTTATTAATAGCAAAAGTTATCATCTACATTGATTAAGAAGTTGTTCACATACAAAATATTAAAGAAAATACATACAAGTTAAGGAAGATTACATCTACTCTTAATATAAGGGATTTAGCTACCCACAACCATGGTAGCTTGCTTCACAAGAAATGGAAGGAGATGAATGTGCATCCAAGTTGAAGAATCGACAAAGGATGTGAATCCAGCTCCGATTTAATGAAGATCACCTCTTTGTTCAAAAGATGAAGTTTTTAGGGTTTTGTGTCTTAGGAAATGTTAAGAGAAAAAAGATTATGATCCAAAAAGGCAACAAAAGTATATAAATATATTTCACAATCGCATGCTCACCTAGCGAGGTCACCTTTTTGGCACTTCAAGTGCCTTAAATTCTTAAGTCGCCCTTAAGAAAATATCTTAGCTCGCACGACGAGGTCAAGTTCACCCAAGCTCGCCTAGCGACCGTGGTGCAAAATAGTTACTGCCTCTACAGTAACATACCTCGTTTTTAGTTGGTCATAGCTCGCCTAGCGAGCTCGTTTTTCCTTGGCCTTAGCTCGCCTAACGAGCTTGCTGAAACTTGCCTTCTTTCCTTTGGCTTCCCTTTTCATTCATTTGTGTCTCTTTCTTTGATTTTCATGCATAAGTCCTGCACACTAGCACACAAATAAGGAAATCCAAAGGCTCATGCTATTCTATTGGAAAATCACACAATACTATGAAATTAAACACTTAAACACAAAATTAAAGTTGAAAAATGCCAAGAAAAATAGTGCATATTAACTCATATTTGGCATTCAACACATGTGGAAAAGGTTATAGAAAAACTAGAAAAAACATCATAGGTAAGTAATTTTATGAACCTTTGTATTAGTCATGGTGTAACTTATAATTTGTTTTACAAACTAGTTGCAGAAGTTTTTAAATCTGGTTGTGTATCAAGTCCATGTGAATTGGATCGCTTGCAAGTGTCTTCCATGAATACACCCCTTTTTCAATGTTAGTGATGACTCGATACAAACCTTCCTACTTGGGAGCCTACTTTCCTTTGGAGGCAGTCCTCTTTCCAATGTCGGCCCTTCTTTAGTCAATTCTCCTCAAGGTAAACTCTTATGGGACAACTTTTTTTTTTTTGTAATTTGACACCATTCTCTTATTTACTATGACATCGCTCATAAAAAATCACTCCATGCATTCTTTTAAGAGGTCTAACTCTTCTATGCACCCTTCTTCATTCTTCTCCCTAAGTTAAGGGTGCAAGGTTCTCCAACTCAACTTTCCAATATCGACGAGGATCACTGCCTCTATATCGTAGGGAATCACCAACCCTACTAAATGAGTAAGGTTTTGTCCTATATGATCATGTAACATGGGGAATCTCTTTTTTCCAATTTCTCTTAGCCATGTCTAGTCTAAGACCCTTTAGCAAGACTCTATCTATTGTCTCTACTTGGTCGTTGGTATGAGGGTGTTCATAGAGGTGAAGTGTTATACCCAATTTAGATATTATAGTAGATATTGGAATATTCCATTTGTGAATTGTGTCTTGTTGTCAATTATTAAAACCTCTATTGGACAGGTGACTCCAAGAATAAGATAGGGAAAGAGGCGAATTGTGGTATTCAAAATTCACAATTAATTTAGAAGTTTTATTATTTAAGAAGAAAATTGTGTTAGTATTTTTAATATTAGATAAAAAAAGCATCGAAAAATAAAATAGTAAAGTAAATATAAATTTTTTAAAATGTAAGGGTTAGAGAGATGGTAGAGAATTATCCAGATTCGGCTGAACATTGACTTAGTCATGTCCCCAAGAGATCTTCTTGATATTTCACTATAATATTGAGCTTTTACAGATTCGTCCACGGACCTTTGATACAAGTGAATCAAAATATTTTACTTTGGCTTATCCTCCTAACCAAAAGATAGTTTTTCCACAAGTTGAGCTCATGAACCGAGTAGAGATTTTACAATTGATTTCAATAACCAATCAAAAATGTTTTTGGTTAAGTTTTATAATCAAACTGAGATTTTGCAGAGAGTTAATCTCAAGAATCAAACTAAATTCTTTAGAATCACACTCTTGAAAATAACAACAGTGAGGCGACACCAATACAACTCTTTCCTCACAAGACACTAAGTTTTGGTGCAGAAAAATATTTAAAGAGAGAGATAAATCATAAATAATTAGAAAAACTCTAAAATTTGGTGTGAAATTAAGGAAGGAAATACCTCCATTATATAGAAGAAAATTTGGCTGAAAATGTAAACAATCCATGGGCCAAATTTTGATGTCTTTAAAAGATACAAGGCCTTAATTGAAAAGTAAAAAGCAAGACTAGTAGTAAAGGTTACTCTCAATAGCATGGAATAGACTATAATAAATCTTTTGCTCTAATTTCTAAATGAGACGTTGTTAGAATCATTTTGTCCTCAATTAGATTGTCAAAAAATTCAATTATACATAAGTTCAAACACACAAATATGAGATATTACTTTCTTAAAGATCTTTTAAAAAAAAAAAAAGGAATGAGTGGCTAAGTTGATCCATTACACTTTCCAATATCAATTTTCAAACATGATGATCAAAGTTAAGAAAAAATTTGGCATATGTGATTTATCAAATTTAGTTTGACTTATTTCTTCTATTAAATTGAATTACTAAGTGTTCATTGTATAGAAAAAAATACTCAATTTCACACCGGGAGTTAATAATCTTTAACTTTAAATGAATAATTCGAAAGTAGATGTCTTAAATTAGTTGGTTTTATCGAATACCATTTTCTTTATAAAAAAAATAGCAGAAGAAATATTCAAAATCTTCAACATCAAGAATAATTTTATACATTTTAATAAAACAATAAATTAACCAAATCATCAAAATTTGTACACAGCCATAGAGCCATAGCCCAGCAATTCAAGATAAAGGTACAATTGTAAAGTATAAAGCAATTTATACAAGCCTTCACAATCCAAAAATGAATACAATTATGCTCCATTTAGCCATGATCCTCCAAAAAATTAATCAATAAATCCAATGATTTGAACATTGTGTAACTCCAACACCCTAGTATAATTTTCTACCCTTTAATTTCCCTTTCCATTATACACAAACCTTCTATTCTTTACCCTTTTTGTATACCTAAACTCAAATTAGTATTTTGAGAAAACTAAGAACCTCATAAGGCTCCTTTTGATTCTTCAACAGCCTCATCAAAGAAAAGCACATTCCAACCACAACTCATGTGAGTTACCTTAAACTTTAAGGTAGTGCCATAATAATAACATGATGAAGCTCCAATGTTTTGGCCTTTTGTTGTCATTATATGACAAAAACTAAAATTTTATCATCTTTGTGGTAGAATGCCAAATCTTTGGTCTAGTTTTTGGCTTGTAATTAGCTCTTCAGACTTGTTACAGACACAACCGGGAAAAGGGTTGGCGAAAAAATTCTCTTCGATCCTTGGCGTTTCGCCTACCTGTCTAAGATAAGGCGCACCTAGTCGGTCGGTGTGCAATTTTTTAACTTGGGAAGAAAATTTTTCCCAAGATAACGAGCCTTGGTCAAATCGATCAATAAGATTGACAAAACTTGATCTGCATATGAAAAAAAAAAGGATTGTATATATGTTAATAACACGCTCGATGAAAAAAGACATGCCAAACATTGAGGGAAGAAAAAAAATTCGAATGCGGTTGGACCCTCGATCGTTAAGGATCCTCTCCAACATTTCCTTCTCCAACCACTAAGATTTGGTTGGAGAAGAATAGACGGGAGAGGATCCAAATCCGATTAAGAAAGTTAGTTATTCATGTTTTGGAAACTTACCTATCAGGATTGATAGTTTTCCGAAATCCTTCAAACCTCCTATGGCCCTGCACGGCCTTAGCCATGTTTCCGTCATAAGTATAAACAAAAACATCACTTTCAAGCGCAACAATATAATCCAAAGCCGCTAGACGATTTTGATATGGCTTGAAAGGCTCTAATTCCTCATCAGTCGCAAGAGTCGAATGAGTAAAGACATTCGGATACTCGGCGCGAAAGGCTGTCATACTACTGCCACCATATATAGGTCCTGCAACAATGTAGATTGTTGTAGTTGAAGGATACCCCATGGCTTTGAGAAAAATGGCTGCTTCTCTAGGTGACATAGGGCATCCTCCTTGCAACCGTCGATCGACACTGTCGATCTCTTTTTCCTTCCAATGCTTCACTTCATACCTCATAACTCGAAGTTCCTCAGCCTCCTCAGTCGTAAGATTATGGCTACAGCCCGTAAAAGCCAGCATGTCTTTCTCATATCTACATTGCATATCACAGAAGAATAACCATTTGTTCAAAAACCAGAAACCGAAAACGTTATATAGACCCGAACAGATCTCTAAGTTCATGAGGTACAATACCTTAAATGAAGGGCAATATAAGGCTCATCATTGTTTCTTAGCCGATCAACCAAGGTCTTTCCAAGCTCCTCGATCTCAACCGTATACTTAAGAGCATGGTAATTGGCACGGCACCTCAGTTTCTGAATAGACGAAGCAAGACCATTGTTCGCAAGTCTTGAATCTGTGTGAGTAAATTGCACAACCTTATATCTCTTCAACATAGGAAGAATCTCACTTCTGTAGTAACTAGCCTGCAAAAAGAACCACCTAACTAAGACATCATTCCACTAAAAGATAAACTAGTAACCGAAAAAAGGCGAGAGACTGAAAAAATGAAGAGACAGACACTCATTAGAATTACCTTCGACCATGAAACCGGAGCCTTTACAAAAGGCTTGATAGATGCATACCGAATAGGCAAGTACTCAACAATATCAACGTCGTCTTTTAAGACTTTCATGAAATGCCGCCAATCGAAAATATCTTTAAAGTCACTGAAATATATTAGAAACATTATATTTTGATAAACAATAGTAACACAAATGTTGATATAATCACAGGTTTGTCGAATACCAAAAATTTACCTTGGATCAGTCCAAAATGAATCATGGTCAAGAGAAGGAAGAACAAGTGTCGCATTCATTATTTTTGCCACCGCAACCATATCACATATCTGCATTTCATTCAAAGACCACAGTTGACATACAGACCAGATACTTATATTATTCAATGAATTAAAAAATAAAAGAACGGAGAACATATATATATATATATATATATATATATATATATATATATATATATATATATATATATATATATAAATATATATATATATATATATATATATATATATATATATATAAGGTTAATTGTGAAGTGGACCCCACCACTATAGCAAACTTACCCCAGTTCTCATTTGATTCAATCCACCATTTGCATGAACAAGAAGATAGCCGTTGGTTTTTGACGGTTCTGAAAGGAAAAAATAAATGCAAACCGCAAATGAGACAAAAATGAAACACAATCAACAAAACATGACAGAAATCAAAGGTAAGTGTACATACTCATTCGATTCCTAGGTCGTGACACGCATTGATAATACTTGTCACTGTTTGGCTTCACCCATATTTCTGGAGTCTATTCAAAATCATCACAAAAAAAAATCAAACTTAATAATCATCAGAAAAATATATGTATAACCACGAATTATTAATCAAACAAAACAATGTATAACTTAATTAATCACATTAAATTAATTCCTTAACGTGTAATATAGGTTCATATATATTCCAACATGGAAAAACAGAAATAGAAAACGCGTGAGAAAATTATAAAAATCCAATAGAAAGTTGCGTTAGGGACAAAGCCAACTAGCAAGTAGTCAAGAACCCAAAAATATTCAAACAATATGTTTCTACCGACTTCAATTGGAAAGCAATTAAAATTTAAGTTCTAAAAATTCCACTTATTTGATTGAGACATCACTTCCTTAATACAAAATCAATTTTTTATTTAAAATCTACTATTAGTATGTCTTATACACTTTGTCATGACACATTAGGAATTTTATTCTTTTTATGCTAAGTTAGTATTATTTTTTTCTAAAAAAATATTAACTTCTAGTTTTATAAAATAAATTCCTATAAGAGTCAATTTCTAGAATACACTTATTACTAAGAAAAAATATTACTAAATGAGTAATTTTTTAAAAGGTTAGTCAAACAAGACTAATAAATATTCCATAGTAAGAAAAATAAATTCCTTGCACCAAAACATGAGCTCCATACATTAGTATAAATGAATTGAGAATTTATTAAAAAATCATAAATACTATATTTAAATACTAATTTACATTCATACCAGACAAGAATAGTTGAAAATCTGATTCTATTGGTAAAGCATAATAATAACGGTAAAAAGCTGGAAAGTGATCAAAAACGGATTTTTTTTTTTGAGAGAAGTAAAAGAAAAGCACTTTTTGGCAACGTGATTTATGATTGAGAAAAAGAGAAAAGAATAACAAAAAAATAATCACTTACAGCCATTCTTTCAAGGACCCTTTTAGGCATGGAAGTTTCAGTCTCAGTTTCTGTAACAACCCTTTGAGCGGAAGCCCAATCTTCCTTAAACCGTTGCAAAATCAATTGTCCATTTTCAATACTTTTCCCATTCATTTCAACCCCAGCACCAATAAACGAAACCTTAAAAAAAACCGACATAACAACCATGACAATTAAAACCGCAAAGATCTTCCGGCCCACGTTTTTGCCGGACCGGATACCCTGAACCGAACCGGACAACCAGAGAAAAAACTGTTCTAACCGAAGTACGCATAGTAAAATGCGGGCGCGTAGGAGAAGGTAGCGCGTGATGGGATGTGGGTGGTGGTGAACGTGCGCGTGGTGGTGGGCGGTGTTTAATAAAACGGGGTCGTCGGGTTCTAGGTCGGAGAAATCTGAGAAGCTTTGTTGTTGGATGTGTTGTTGTTTCTCTGTGTCGATATTGTTGTTGTTTATGTCAGGTACGCGTCTGCGTGTGGTGGTGGGACCCGCGGCGACCCTTGGGCTGGTGTTGGACGAGGTTGATGTTGGGCCGCCGGACGACATCTTTTCGGTGTCAAAACGACGACGGGTTGAGAATTAAACGACAATGAATGGGAATATTTTTTATCGGAATTTGATGTTTTTGAGGTTGCGGTTTCTGGGAGAGCTACGTTGTTTTTGTTTTGTGTTCTGTGTATTTGCTTGTGTTCGGTCGAAGTTGAATTTTAGAGAGAGAAAGAGAGAGAAGGAGAGAATAGAAAGAGAGAGAGAGAAAGGAACGAAATTTGTGATCTGTGATTCTCTTTTTTTGTCGCTTTTTATATCATTGGGTTTTAGTTGTTTCATATGACATTTGGATTTTGTTTTTAAAGGAAATGACTATATTGTCCTTTTTGAGATTTCTTTCTTAATTTTTATTTAGACATGAATCGTTTTGATTTTGTTTTTATTTTGTCTCACGCTTGTTTCGATTTCTTACTTTGACTGGATGTTTGGAGTGATGTTAAAAATTATTGTAATTTAATTTCGTGACTTAATTGCTATGCAAATTGTATGATTTACTGTCTCCCAATTTCTTATATTGAAAACATATTCATTAAATAACTTATAAATGTAATTTACATATAGATTATATATGTTAATTATTTAATATATTTAAAAATTATTTTATATATGATTTAATAGAGGGTCATGCTAACCAGTGCCCTTAGGACACTAGTTAAAAATTTCAAATAAGGAAAATATGTTATATTTAGTTCACTCAATACACACAATATTCTTTAAAAAGTCTGATTATTTCTCTTTTCAGAGCATTGAATACACATATATTTAGAAAAAAATATATATTTTCAATCTCTTAAATAATTCTCAACTTACCATTTTAATCTCTTAACCAATACCCTGAGGGCACTCCTTTACATTTCCCTTTAATAAATTGAAAAGTAATTTATGCATATGATTTATATATAGAGCATATACATTAATCTTTTAAAAATTTTAAAAGTATCTTATACATATAATTTATATATGGACTAGATACATTAATTATTTAATAAATAAATAAAAATATTTGCATATATTTAGTATAGTCGTCTTTTGTGGAATTACATCATACTCTTACAAACTATGATCTATTTGACCGCTTAGCTTTAGCTTTGAAAACCGAAGGATGCACAGGTTTTCATAATGTAAGTAAAGGAGGTTATGGTGGTCATGGTCGTGTAGCCGGTGGTCGTGGTGCTCTAATTTAGTGTTTGGTTATGGAAAATTTGGCCACCATCGATACATTTATCCACATCCACAAAAGTTAATATTCGCTTTGTTTATACAATGTCTTAGTCTAGCCCCCTTAATCCACGAAATGAAGGACGTACAATAATTATGAGTTATGGAGCCAATGATCATATGACACAAAATTCAGGATTTTTTTCTGTCTTTCTAGTAATCATTCTTTTATTGTCTTAGGTGATGATTCCAAAGTCCATGTTAAAGAAAATGAATGTACTACCTCAAAAAGCAACATACTCACCCCGTTCTGCAAAAAAGGAGCAGGGCGGGCATACATTATGTAGAGAGCGGGCTTAAAACCTTGGTCGGCCTCGCAAAAAAATAAGGGCGAGACATGGCGGACCCCCGGACACTACACATTTTAGCCTTAAAATTGCAAAAACATATTTTAATGATCGCACCCGCAAAAGCCTACAAAAAAAATGGGTGGGGTGGGGTGGACATATTAGAGAGCATGACCCTAAAACCTTGACCCGTCCCGCGAAAAATGATGGCAAAATGGACATTTCCCAATGGGTCGGACCCATTTGGCCACCCTTAACTACCTCGGTTTCTACCTTACTATAGGCATATGTCTTATATTTGTTAGAACAAAATTTCTTCATGACATATTCTCTTTTTGTTTTGATGATAACAAAGTATGGAAAGAACAATGGTTTATTTGATGTGTTTTTTTATTTATGCATGTTCTATATCATTGTATATAAATAATCAGAATTTGTGCTACATGAACACACTTGGGAGTTGTTTCATTGCTAACTTCTGGTGGCAGGGTTTGAAGAACAATTGCTAGCGTGGCTTGGCGCAGACTCTGAGTTAAAGGCCTCAGCATTCTGACGAGTTACTACACTTGGTAATTGTATATCAGCATCCAGTACCATTCAGAGTTGGTGATAAAGTTGGGGTTGTCCGTACTGCAGAAAGCAAGTTGTATTGTCTTATCAGCTTGTCAGCTAGAGTCTACAAGTTTGCAAGGCTCAAGAAAGCTTGGCATACTCTACAAATATCTACTCTCAACAGCTCTATCAATAAAGAACCTCTTGAAGACTCAAAGGTTAAATGCATTACATACTGAATTTAGAATCTGCTGTGCATCTATCTTCAACATCTCTTGTACTATGGAGTAAAGGCAAAAAATTTTGATCAAGTTACCTCTTCAACAACTAGTTTCTGCAAAGGCTATAAATATGGCTGAAGATTCAAGTTTGAATCTTAACAAGGATTCTTCAGATGAAGGAGTAGCAAGATCAAATAATTATCAACTTTATTATAATATGCATATTTTCTGTTGTAGGTTGTAATTATAAAAGCCTTAAGATTTCTTACCATTGAACATCTTAGACAATTTTAAGAGCTTTAGGTCTTTGATATGGTGATTTTCCATATCTATGACGCTTGTATCATGTACACCTTATTCCCGATTCTACTGAGCATTCAGTAGTTAGGTCAAAGTCTCTTGCTATATGCTTGAGCATAAGTCTTGTCTCATTGGGATTCAAGCAATAAGTCTTGAGCCAAGATGCTTAAGCCACACATGTCTCATTTCTTAAGTGCTTGAGCTATGAAAGTTTTATTCAGCTAGTCTGTTTGAGCAGGGGAAAGTCTTCGTTTGAAAGGCGTGAGCAAGAAGTCTCGAGTGTAGTTTAAGCAAGAAAGTCTCAGTCTGGATGGCCAGAAGAGCAGGTGGCTCGATCAGAGGGCGTGACCAAGAAGTATTAGACATGTGCTATAAGCAAGGGTAAGTCTCAATCAAAAGACCTTTGGGGCAGTTGGCTCAGTCAGAAGGTGTGAGCAAGGGAAGTCTTAGACATGTGCTCTAAGCAAGAAAGTCTTAGACAGTAGGTCTGAGCAGGTGAAAAGACTTATGCAGAAGCATAAGCGATTGTAATCATAAAGTGGTTATAATAAAAATCTCATGCGAGGCAAGGGGACTGGAGTACTTTCAGTTAAGAGAGGAACCAGAATAAATCTTTTGTGTCTTTTGCTGATTATTTATTTACATATGTTATATCCGCTGCCAATGAATTAAAACAGAATCTAAACATCGGTTTTGATTCTGAAACTCTGATCAGAAGTTAAATTAAAGAAAACACGAAACACAATTCATCCCCCCTTTCTTGTGTACTTTTCACACCTTCAATTGGTATCAGAGCATAGTCTGTGCTTAACAATTAACAATGGTGCAGATAATGATCCAATAAGAAAAGTATATTTCTTCTTCAAGAAGGAATCAAGTGGCACATGAAAAATATCATACGACTTTTCCTACCATATTCAAAGGATGATTTCACTGAATTTAACTAATGGAAAATCTAAACATATTTTTAACTCATTGGTCTTGATAAAGGGTTGTTGAAGGTTTATAGAATATCCTTGAAATATGTATTACTATAGACGTTAATGGTGTAAAGATGGTCAACTTGAAAATCGTTTTCACTAGCTTAGAAGATGCATATTGAATATCTTCAGAGGTAGTTGCATTCTGGTAGATGCTCTATCTAATTTTTGAGTATATCAACATCATTAACGTGTCTGGTGCTTGGACAATCTTTTAATTCTTGTGCTTGGATTTATGGGGATCAGATTTTGAAGCTTGAATAGTTATACTTCATCTAATCTTTTCAAGCAAATTCTGAGAAGATTGCTTTGAGACTTAAATATAAGATTACAGTTATTCATGATGTTTACATCTTGAATCTGCTGTAATCTAAAGGTTTGTCTTGTAGTCTTCAAAGGAAAGAAATGAAGTTAGATGATGAAAAACTATTCAACAGATCACCTTCTCAATTTACCTCAAGTTCTTTGAAATGACTAATGGTAAGAAACTTAGGAATCTTGTCAGAAGAACTCTCATACTAGATGAATGAATTGTGATATCTGTTGCTAGAAGAGTAACTTCAGAAGCTTCTGAAATACTTGTATTTCAACTGATTTCTCAGATCTGAAAGCAAGAAGAAACACTACCCGAATCTAATATCAGATGCTCTTCAACGTCTAATATTTTGAAGTCGACATTACTGCAAGATGAAGATGAATAGAAGCATTTGTATTCTGAAATAAAAATCAAGTATTGAAATGTAAGAGATGGTGTCAAATCTATCTTTCTTCAAAATATTTGATAATATGGAGCCTGTTTCTTAAGGTGATATCTTAGGAAACTCCATTGCTTCTTAATTAAGGATCATCATGGAAATTTTTTTAAAAGACATTTCTTTGAGAAGTTTTCAATTTCTCTTTGAGTTTTGTCTGCCGTACTAAACAATATTTTGATTTGCTTTGCATCAATTTATGATAGCTAACACCATCTGGTTCTGAGCTTGTCAATAATTTCAGAGTCAAAATATTTAATCCTAGACAATGAGATTAGTACCTCTGCTTAGAACAAGATTTTGTTCTTATCATATATCATCCTAGACTCATACTCTGGAGTGGTTTATGATTTTTCTATTAGATTGAGACATAAGATAAAGAAGAGTCTGCATGTACCTACATGTATGGTCTTAAAGAAATATGAGTATCATAATGTATCTACTACATATATCAAGGAAAGTAGCAGAGGCATCTTTCATAAGGTTGTTTACAACATTTATTGGAGGAAGAACCAACAACCTAGATTCAAGTACTGGTGGAAGGAATGGTTAGACAACCATTTAATCAGAATCCACTCAAAGCGGTGTTCAGACTCTATTGGTCATGTCTGAATACTAAATCGAGTCTAACCGAGAAAAACAAAAAAAAGGCATGCTTGTTCTCTTCTAGTTTATCTTTTGATTCAA